TGCAGAGCTATCTCCTCGCCAAACCTGCCAGTAACTTGTGCTGGTTTCTGCAGGGGCAGAGCCATGCTGCCCTGGTGGACAGGGATGGTGCACGGCTCCATCCCACCCTGAGGGGTGTGACACGGAAAGGCACGGAGCTGTCCCCTGCTAACGCTGCCACGCTGGCACACTTGTTGCATTTGCCTTCGTATGTTGCCATAGGAACTACAGCCCCAGCATCTGCTCCTGCTGCTTCCTGCCACGCTGCCTCTGCACCCCACTGGGCTCAGCCCACTTCTGCTTCTCTGCCAGCCTGATCATGCCTCCCACTCACTCACGAACTCCCTGCCTCATCCTCTTTTTTGGGTGACAATCAGATTACTGCTGTAGCAGTTAATTATTGCATTAGTTATAATTTGCCTATTCATTTGTCTTTCTTCTTCCCTCCCACCTTGGAATTATTCCATCTCTCCATCTTTTCCACCTTCATACTACCTCTGCTGTTTGACTCCCATCCCCTTTTCTCTTGCACTCCTCAGGCACACAAAGCTTTGCTGCACTGCTCTACCCTTTCCTTCCTCTTTATCTCCCTACTACTCACATCTTCTGTGCTCTCTCCTAACACCTCTTGCTCCATCCTCTCTCCCAGTCCTCCTACAGTTTCCTTCACTTTAGACCCCCTGCCTACCATCTCAGGTGACTGCTTCACACAGATCTTCTCTTTCTTCTACCCCTGTGCAGGGGTACTGCCAGCTTCTCCCAGGTCTGATCCAGGCTTGTTCCTCTCCTACTCTCCTTGGCTCTTCTACAGTCAACAGCATTACTGTGCTCCTACTTATCCAAATACCCCAGAAACTGTATCTTCTGCCACCTCCTTTAGCCTTACTCAATCCTTCACAGCTCCAAATCCTCACTCTTCTCCAGGCTCCTTTATCAAGACTTCCAAGGTAAGCACCTTATAAATTTCCCCTTGTCCCTAAATCCCACCCTTACACACATTTCTTCCTTGTTCTCTGAATGGGAGAATCCAGCTACCTCCACAGCTAACTCTACCCTCAGCCTAAGACCCTGGTCTATACCATTATTCCAGTGCTTGCACCATTAAGTTTCACAGCCTCTCACTCCTCCACCTCTGTCCCCATCCCTCTGGTTGTGTTGCTGTTTCTGGTGCCATTAATTGCAAATTCCCTTTGAAGCTGTATTCCTTTCTGTCTTATGGAATTGCTTTTCTTCTCTGCTGCCTTCTTTCTTTCCGCAAAGACCCTTGGACCAGGACCCCAGTGTCCTTGTTCTATTCCCACCCCAGGCACATTATTCATCCTTCCTTGCCCTCATCTGTTCCCTACCCTCTCCACATGGGAGACTCCAGCAAGCCTATCTACTCCTTCCTCCCCTGTGAAGGACAAAATGTCTCCTGGGTGACCTTCTGGAGAGCACCTCATCTGCCTGGAGGGCTTCAGCTAGCATCTACAGCTCTGCTGGTCCCCACTTCTGACGGGTGTCTCTCCGCCTTGCGTTTCAGCCAACCCCTATCCTTTCCTAGATGAACTGAGTGCTGCTAACATCACCTCCTCTGATTCTTTTACTTTTCCTTGCAAGTCCCTTGCATTTGCACACTCTGTTTTCCTACCAGTGAAACATCACTCTTTCTTGCTTTGTTTCTTTTGCTTCCACTGCTCCAGCTTCATTTCACCACCACAAAACCACCAGTGGTCATGAAATTGTAACATTTAAACTATTGCTGCAGGACATGCAGGAGGTGCATATGAGAGAGCACATAAGGATGCTCTAAAGACATGGAATTTTCCACTTGTATTATATTTTCATACATACTTCAGACCATCTGTGGAAAGCTGTAAAATGACTAGTTTGAAACATATAAAATTGTGTTAGTTTACTTAAAACATTAATTTAGCAGACTCAGATCTCTGAAAACTCAGCAAAATGTGAACAGTTTTCTTGCATTTCCCAATTTTGCTCATCTTAACAACAAATAGGTCTCAAAATTTAATGTAACTCAGAGTCTTCCCCTACCGTCTGTGACTCTTGAACCCACATTTGGCTGCTAGCTTGGCATGTGTTACACTCTTCTGTAGTCTCAGGTACACATGTGCTTGTTAATGCAGCCTGCAGTAATTTGCATGTGTGTTCTCAAGTAAGGAAAAGTGAGGCCACACTTCACTATTTTGCAATGACACCTCTGGACCCTGAGATCAGTACATTACCAAGTCTTTTTTTGGCTTGTTTGCAGTGTTCCTTTAGGTACTTTTTGCACACTGTGTTGTCATGCTACTTATATATCTGGACTCAAATTTCCAGCTTTGAACACTCCCTGTCCATTGGAACAGCATCCTGGATACACTTGAAGTTAGCTTTGTGACCATCTCTTTCCTGCTCCCCAGTATTTGAGAAAGCTTCTTATATCTATCTAGTTTCAAAATGCCATTTTGTGGCAATTCTGGCTGGGAGGAGACTGGCAGCTTTATGTTGCTGGTTTTCCCTATATGAAATTTCTATACTTTAGTTCCAAACTTCTGGAAAAAGAGACTGTCTGTGCTGTTAGCTCTCAACCACCTTTTTTTTTTTTCCTCATAAAGAACAGCTTGTCTTACCTGTGCTTACTGCAGAATTTCTTCTTCACGTCTGAATACCAGTTGTTGAACGTGTCTTTAAACACTTCTTGCACACCCTCTATGTGTGTGCCTTTTCCCTTGTGCTATCAATAAGTTCTTTTGTCTTTCCACTTCAAAACGAGCCATTCCTATCTCTTCTGTCTGAGTTCCATTGCTAAACAAAATTCAGGTTGGTGCAATAGAGGGTGAAGGATGGGTACCCAAACTTTCAAATAACAAAACTTTATGCTTGATGCTGCTGTGGCATGAGCTCTACTGGTACTCACATACATTGTTCCCCTGATCTGCAGTTGCTTCCATTGCAAACCCCTTTGCTTGGATGGCTAATCAGTAAATCTGAATATTTATAAAATGACAATGAAATGTTACTAAATCCACAGTAAATTCACTGAAAACAGCCTAATTTTTCCAATTTATGCCCACTTACTATGCCACTTTTTCTAGGTTTCCTGCAGTGACACTGCACTGCACTGGTCCATCACAATGCCTCCAGAGACACAACCTTCACACATGTAGAGTTCCTACACATTAACTGTGGTGGGAGTAGATGGCTCCAGCAGGCAAAAGTTTTTCATTCAGAGCTTGTTTGCAGAACCAGAAATTAATCTCCAGGGATTTAAGACAGTCCCACAGCCTCATGCCCAGCCCCAGGGAATCCACATTTTTCCCTTTTTTTATAACTAGGTTTTATTTTACACATAAACCTCTTGATAAAAAGCAGCAGCTGCACAGAGCAGTGGCAGCCTGTGAGTGAACCAGGACGTTTCTTGTGCAAGAGGGAAGAGCCAAAATGCACCTAAGGAAGAACTCCAGGAAGGATTGGACAGTCAGTGTCTTGTGATTAAATAAGGACTCCGTATCAGCACTACTCAGATGGGAAGCACTGTCTAAATTTGGAAGTCTGGAAATTGGGATTGGGAATAGAAAACAGGGAATGACTAGGGGAGATGCTGTGACCAGTACCCTCATCCAGGGGGAGGAGCGTGCTGGAAAAGGACAGACAATTGGAATGTATGTCAGGGAGCAGATATGCCCTTCGGAGCACAGGTTCTATTCCTGCAATATTCCCCATTAAATTTTCCATCATAAGTCCAATACTTCTATGTGCACTGGCCAGCTCTTTGTGGTAACATCAGATATCAGGCAAATGATTCCTTCTATTGTCTTTGCATCTCCCAAAGGACCTTTGGTTTGAGTTTCTTTGCCAGCAAATAAGCAGCAAGAGGAGTTGACAGATCAAGATCAGTGATGATGGTAGGAATGAGCTGACCATGTTAGTGGTTGCTGTTTATTCTTTTCTGAACAAAGTACAACCAGTTTTCCCAGAGCTGCATGAACAGGAAGGAAGAGCTGATCTCTGCTTTAAGCATGTAATGAACAGGGATGAACTCCCAACTTGAGAAACTAGGGCTGGGGGTAGCTGAAGACCCCTTAAATTAAGATCCATTTCACTCTTTTTGTGTTACTTACTCCTGTGTGGATTTCCTAAATCTAGGAGAGCAGAATGTGTCTCAGAAATAGTGGCTGGTTTGCCAGGGGGAAGGACAAGGTGAGCTCCACGCTGCTGGTGTCCAGGCTTTTGGAGACACAAGCAAAGGAGGGTGCTCTCCTCCCCTTTTGCTTGCCTGCACACAGCAGGTAGGCTATGTCCTTACCTCCTCCTTTTGGGCTTGGAAAGAACAGAGGAGAGATGGTCTTTCTACTCAACTCAATTAGCAGAGCCACTACATATGGCAAATTCCCAGATCATTGAGCTCACATTAGTATAAGACCCTTATATTTTCCTTTCCCAGAGCTTGATTGTTTGGAAAAGAGGCAAGCCACTATACCCATGGACAAGCTTGTTGTGCTCTCTGTAGCAAATGCACGGCTGGATTGGAGTTTGCAGTTTGTCTCAAAGCTAATACAAAATCTGCCTTTGAAGTGCAGTAGGCATTACAGGGGAGTGGTACCTGCACCTCTGGGATGCCAACCTGCCAGATCTCACCTGGTTTGGACACCACAGCAGTGTCTTTGCTCAACGTGGTACAGCAATTTTTAGAATACAGAAAAGCAAGAATAGATCAGACACACACAGCTGCTGGATCTCCACTTTTTCAAGATTTTTCCCCAGTCCATTCACTTGAGTTTTGTGGATGTTTTCTTACTGTTCCAATTCAAGTGTGTACAGGCTTGAAAAACACTGACAGAGGTCTTTGAAAACCCTGAATGCAGCTAATGGAGAGTTCAATCCTCTTCCACCTGGCCAGACACAATTGTGTGTTGACACCTGCAGACCAAAACTTATGAATTCATTTTCTGTCTCTAGGAATTTGAAGGTAGGATGCAGCATTTTACTGCATCTCTGGTAAATCAGTGCCAATTTCACAAAGGACATGGGTCAGCAGCCAGAAAGGCTTGCACATATGACACAGGACCATGAGAGACCTCTCTTTCTGCTGCAATAAGAACTCGAGGTAAAGCAGAATATTGTCAACAGCAAGACTTTTATGATCTCTGTGAAAGTCGAGCGGACCTTGAGCTGCTCTGAAAACATCCCATGACATTGTTTATGAACTGCACTTGCAGAAGCTCTACCTTTATGAAACACAATGATACTTTTATTACAAACCTGGAAAACCCCAAGCTTTGAAAGAACAGCTCCTTTTAGGTCAAGAAAGCTTCTTTTACTTCACTTGGGGTATGCAATGGAACCACAGAAAACTGCATGGGTACATGATCCAAAGAGATCACATGGAGAGCGCTGAAGGGAAATACAGGCCTCCCTTTCTTCCCATCATTGTGTTTGGAATATGTTTCCAATTGCTCTAGTCACAAAGCAATCAAAGAAACTTGTCTACAGTGGCAAACTGAAGATGCCCTATCAGACCACATTACAGGGTGCTACACAGTATTGAATCCTTAGTCACAACAGAAAAAACAACATCCACATGACTTTAGGCCACAATGCACTCAATTTCCATATGTTTTAACAGAAAAGAGAGCACAGATCTTCAAAGAAAATGAAATCTGTCTTTGGAGGATGCCCACGAACATGTTTCTTCCCCCTATTAGATCCTTACCCAGCATCCCACCTTCCCTTGCATGAAATGGGGAAGAAGGGAGGCCACCCCCTGCAGCACCCAAGAGGCAAAGAGCTCACCAGCCAGACACCCTTGGCCCTTACTCCAGCAAGCTCCACTTCCCGCAGCCCATCCTTTATCATCTATCACCTGTGTTAGTAGGCTGTTCCCTAAGTTTGAGGGCAAACAAACGCTTTGCTCATATGGTTTTGAGTGTGCAACATTTAGCATTCCCAGTCTTGGTCTGCTTGCATGAATGCCTCCTGGTTTTTACAGTTCTGCAAAGGAAAACAAAAGCAAAATTATTAAACAATGCAGCCATGGCCTCATGGTAACACAACAGCTGGGGCTGGCCACCACCACAAGGAGCAGCCTGGCCTCAGTGGGCTCAGGACCTGCTGTGGAGCCCTGGCTATGAATAACTTATCTGGAAGAACAAAGAGAACCAGTAACAGACTTTCTGTCATGCTCCAAAATCCATCAGAGCTGACTGAAGCCTGTTACTGCTATCTTCCAGTACTTGTTATAAAATGACTGCTATATCTAGCACTAAGAAACACTCTTTTTTTCATGAGGTCACTCTTGCAGCATGAGTAGTATAAAAACTGCACAGGAAAAATGTTTCCTTTTTATTACTGCAAAGACACTTTGAAGATGGTCAGGCTAGGGAAGTGAACTCTCCTCAAACTACAGCAGTTCTCCGACCTGAATGAGGGCTCCACGCCGGCCAGCCCAGTGAGCGCCGCACAGCCATCTGCTGAGCCTCTGGGATGGTGTCTGCAGAAATGTGTCCCTTTGCTTAAAGGGCCAGGTGCTCAGGCAGGCAGAGCTCCCGCTGGTAGGGCTCGCAATCCAGCCGAAATCCCATCAGAGGGTGGCGGGCAGAGTATCCTAAACGGTCCCGAAACGCGGGCGTTTAAACCCCGGAGCTACCCGGCCCCTACAGCAGCTGCCGCTGCGGGCCGCTGCCCGGCCCCTCACAGCCCCGGCCCCAAACAGCCCCGGGCCCCGCTCACCCCGGGCACCGCACACCCCCGAGCCCCGCACAGCCCCGGACGCTGCTCACCCCGGCCCCGCTCACGCCGGGTCCCACGGCGGGGCCTGACCCGTGCGGGCGCCGTGAGGCTGCGCCCGCAGCTCCAGCGTGCGGCTGCCGGCCGCGGCCGGGGCCTGGCGCGGGCCGCCGGCAGGAGGCACCCGGGAGCCGCGCGAGGGCAGCGACACGGGGACCGGGCCGTGCCGGAGCTCCGCCGCCCCGCGCCCAGCCCAGCTCACGGCCCCGGGCACTGCCATGCTGCCCCGGGGCTGCCCCGGGGCGGGGGTTAATTATTCCGCACGGGGCCGGACCGTGCTCCGCCCGCGGGCAGCAGCGCCGCACCGCCCGGGTGCCTGCCATCGCCGCAGGGCAGAGAGCAGCTCCTCTCTCGGCGGGCACGCAAGGCTTTGCACCTTAAAGATCACCTTGGCACTGCACTCCGGCACCGTCATTGCTGCTCACAAGGGTTCATGATGACGCTCTGGAAAAAGCCAATATTCTCCTGTTTCCATGAGCAGTAAGAGAGGCAGCCACGGGAGAATGTGTGCCATGTTGTTAAAGCAGAGTCTGTTTACACCCACACCGTGAATGAACTTCAGAACGGTGGCAGGTTCTTAACTTCTCTTTCCTTTCTTGTTGGCATTTTTGGCCAGGAAGGCATTACACACTGGAATATTTAAAAAGAATAGCAGAAAGAGAAGGAAAAGCAAAGGCATGGAGGGATAACCCCACCAAAACCAACCAAAAAAACCAAACAACAAAATTAGGGAGGAAAGAAGTTTGGATCCCTAAAGTAACAGCAGCTGCTGCCACTGCAGGTGGGGCCACATCCAGTCCCAGCTTGCTGGCCTGGGGCAAGGACTGACTGTCCAGGATGGGCAGAGCCTGCTGCTGCCAGGAGCCCCGTGCCTGCCGCCAGCCTGGCTGCACTCTGCCACTGTCATCACATCCTCAGCCCTGCCTGCCCTCCTGCCTGGGGCTCCACAGCCGCTTGCAAGGCCCCTGTGTTTCATTCCATAGATCTCCCCATTTCCACGGCTGTGACAGCCCACCCTGGCACATCCTTTCTCCAGGTATCCTGGGCACGTGGCATGGAGGAAGCACTGGGAGGGCTACAGCCATACCCACAGCTTCTGGGCGCTTTGTCAGCCCCTAATATACTGTTCCTCAGGGTCATGCCCTCCACCCCATGACAGCCTCGGGTATTCCCAGTAGTCCTCACACTGGTGGTGCCCATGCAGGGCTGTGCAAGCTCCTGCCTCTGTCAGCACAAGAGCAGCGTCCCATTGCAGCATCTCTGCTGCACCAGTGCGGCTGCTGGCTGCTACAGTGAACCTCTGCATTTTTAACCTCCCCACATTTCCAAGGGAAGGAAGCACTTCACCTTTTGCAGTTAATCTATTGACTGTTATGTGATAAAAGCCAATTCCTAGAGAAGATTGTTCCTCATGCCTCTCCTCTCTGAATTTCCCATTAATAATTACTCAGTCTGTCAATCAGGTTTGTGGAGTTTTTTTGGTTTTTTATTTTACTTACAAGATAATTCTGTGTCTTTCTTGCTTCTCTCTGGTTTTAACGTGATAGCACACACAGGCTGCACTGTGAACAAGTGAAACTGCATGTTCAAACTTCTGTGGAAACCACTGACAGGCTCTACATTTTATGATTTGAAGGTATTCATAATTCAACAGGAAGCTTTCGAAGTGCATACATATGTACATACATTCTCCTTTTTCTTTGATTTAATTTTTGCCTGCTTTTCAGAGAAAGTAGCTGCTCATCATATATCTGAACCATTATAATTTTTAAAGAACTGTAAACCTGAATTTATTTGCAATTGTTTTCTCTTTTTTTCCTACTCATCTGTTTTTCAAGTTACATTCCAATGAGTCTGTTTTAAATTCATTTTCCTATTGTTGAAAGACTCATGGACATCTGTTCTGCTCCTGCTGTGCTATCAGTATCCCTGTATCGATGACTGGAATCAAAATATCCATCTCTCTGAATAGTTCAAAGTCACTGTAAGATGGGCCTGACCTCTGTTCTGTAATCACATTCAAGGCATTTGACCTAATTTTACAGCTGCAGATAACTGCTCAGTGCTGGCAAGGCTAGCAACCCCTTTGCTGTACCATCAGCAAACCCAGTACAAGGGGTGAATGGAAAGGTGAGGATGGTGGTAGAGATCTAAAAACCTCTGTAGCTTCCTGTATTCTGGTTCCCAGTGTGAGACAGAGCAGCTGGTATGTTCTGGGATTGCCTGGGACACTTGGGTCAATTAAAGAGCCTCTGGCTGAGCCCCAGTTGCCTCTCTACTTACCATTGCCCCCAGACACTTGTCCCAAACCTGCAGGGAGAGGAGGGAATGGCAGGGCTGTCCTGGACCATGCTGACACCAGGGAAACGCCCTGTGGGCTCTGGGGATGGTGGTTCTACACCCCAGCTCTGGGGGCCAGCTGGTTTCCAGGAGCTGTAATCCTCATGGCACCATGGCTTCCATGCCAGGACTCCTGTTTCAGTACATCAGTCTGGGAAGACTTGCTCAGGAAAGAAGTTTCCCCATGCTTAGCCCCCACTGCCTCACCTCCTGGCAAGTCTGTCACATAGAATGGAGTTCATCGTGCTGGACTTCACCCGCTGAACTGGGCAACCACCCCAGGAGAAGGGACTAGAAAAAAAAAGCCAGAAGAGATTTAATTTTGTAGACAAGGACACACACTTATTTACACAGTGCCTGCAGAACATTGGTCCATCTCTTTTTTTTTTTAATTATTTCCTAAGAAAGCAAAACAAATACAACACACCAAGAAAAACTTTGCTGTTGCTATTACAATCAGTAAGATAAAAAGAACAACTCATAGTGGCCTTACAGCACAGGGCTACTGTAAGAATTGCTGATCTAGGGCTAATTTCAGCCAAGTTATTTAAGGAGTCTCTTTACCTCATGCTGACAGCATTTTGTGCGGTGGTTCTGGGTGCTGGAACCACATCCCGATAGCCTGTGGGTACCTGTCTTTCCATTTTGTCCAAATACAAACTCTGGTTGAAGAGAGCAGCATTTCTCACAGCTGAAACATTCTCCCCTTTATGGGCAGAGCTGCAGCACAGAACCTATAACCTTAAACTGGTTTTCTATGTGCTGGCTGTTGTCACTTGTGCTGTGCCTGGCACCCCTCTGTGGCACTTTCCCAGTCCATCTCCTGGCCTGAGGGCAGGCTGGGAGACCCAGCTGGTCGAACCAGCTACCAGCAAGAGGCAGGAACTCTCTGTGAGCACAGTTCTCTCAGGAAACTGCCCTAAACACTGAGGTGAGACAAGTTCAGTCTTATAAAAATAAATGTGGCTCCCCAGTGCTAGGGAATATTTATGTCACTTGACTCAAAATCAAAATAAAACCCAAAAAAAAAAAAAAACACAAAAAAAAAAACAAGGAAGAAAGGCAGTGGGAACCCTCAGCTGTAACATAACATATACAATGTCCCCAGCCCCACAGTGCCCCTGGGCTGGGGTGGACTCTTAGAAACTGGGGGGCATCACACACCTTCTAGGGGAAGTGTCTCTGTTTTAATCCTGACATCAACCACTGAAATCTGTAATTAGCAGAGAGCTTTTCTGGAGCTGTCTCTATATCTGTAGAAAGACTGCTCAAAGTGTGTAATTACTCAGACCCAACTGTCCCACAGGTGCCAAGTGAAGGACAGCCATGGCAAACTCCTCACAGCCATATTCCTGCTCCACAGGACAGGCAGGTGGGAATGCAAGCACCCTGAATGCAGCCTCAGGTGCTCCCAGGGATTTGGGACATTGCTGCCACCATGCCCTGAGACCTGGTGGCAGCTCCCATGGCACTGTGAGCAAGTGTGATGTACTTTGCCACTGCACTACTAAGGATTTTGCCCACTGTATTGTCCTGCCTGTGCCTGCTCTGCAAGGTGCCTTACTGTGTTCTGAGTGCATCTACAGCCTTGAGAGGAGCTAGGAAAATGCCACTTCACAGATATTTTTCCTCTGACTCCTTTCCCTTTTCTTGGATCCTCTCTTTGTTTTCAGACTCACATGTGCTGAAGCAATTTGCAGTTATGTCTAGGTATTACATTGCCACTAAGTCCATTAGTTCATAGATTTCTTCTCCCATGGAGTTCCTGCAGCTGCTGCTGTCTTGGCAGTTAATTTGTTATGTATTTCCTTTCAAATCTGAATTGAATTATTGAGCATACATAATGAGGCACAGTAGGAAGAAAAAAGGCATATTAAAGCTGACACAGACCAGATGCCTCTTCCAGCCACTGCTGCACCAATAGAGAGTGTGGGTAAATGTCAGGTGAAGGAGAAAAATGAGGATATAGACAAATACCTTGCAAGGATTTTTTCATCAGCTACTTATATAAGGATTTTGAAAATTCCCTGCCCTCAGAACATCACTGTTTCTCTGAACTTCCCAAGTATTGTGCAGTTCAAGGGAGACTTTGAGAAGGAGCTCATTTACATTAGAAAAGTGTTGAATACTGTGGGAACCAATGGTTGAAAGAGTTCAGCAGAAAGGGCCATCCTAAGGGAGCACAGCACATGAACAACAGAAAAAAATAACCAAAAACCCAGACACACAGTCAGCCTCCCTTCACCTCCCCAGCAGGATGACCTGCCCATCCTTGAGACTTCTCAGTGTCAGTTCCCTGCACCTTTGTTAGTCAGTGCCTGCCAGCACTGCAGCACACACACACAGAGCACTCAGTGCCCAGGAGACACCCATTCCCCACCAGCAGCACCACAACCTTGTAACTATTCCCTCCACTTTTTGCTCTACCTTCCTATGGAAGGTCAAAGCCCTCACACTGAAGGTAGCCAGCAGCAGGGACTCAGCAGCTGCAGGGCTCCTGCAAAGAAAGAGCCTGTGAGTCAGAGGTGGGATCCACAGGTGGGGGAAGAGAGTGCCCAGCAGCAGGGATATAGAACACATTACTGTAGAATAGGATGGGGACCTAGAGCTTATCCTGAGAGCACAGCTACATCCTCCACCAAAACACTCATCAGGCACAAAGGGTCCTGTTTGCATGGATGCATGTGCCATGCAGGGCAGAGAGCTTGGTACCCAGCTCCAGGGAAGCACAGCACTGATCCTAGGCCAG